GAGGCTCTGGGCGTTTTGCACAGCAATGTAAGAAGGATCCTATTGAGTACTAGGAAGCTGTGGCAGGGTCCGTGCAAGGGATCCTGGTTCTGGTCACAGATGCTCCAGAACAAACTGCCACCAGGGTGCATTTTCAGGAGGAGAGGTAAACATATGGATGCTGCTTTTACGTGAAGGGTGCTTGGAATAGCAGGCGATAGATGGAAAGAGTTCTAGCATGCATTCCCCCCTCTAAGTAAGCAGCCTCCCCAGAAGGCACTGGCACAGTTGGCTTGGGGGCCATTTCTCTACTATCATGAAGAGAGTTTCTGATGGATTTGCATTTCAGATGCTTCTGTCTCCTTGTTAAATTGATGAACACACACCATGTACCAAGAAGCATCTTACTAAATGCCATCCTCAAGCGCACTCAGGAGACTGCTGCTGGAGCTTGTATTGAAATGTCGGAGGTAGGGCAGGTGCCAAGGACAGTTTCCAGGCCAGTTCTGGGTCTTAGTTATTTTTCCTTGGTTCTTCTCATGCAGTTATCTCTGGGTAGACCGCCTATAACTCCTCCATTTGCTCAGAACCATGTGTGTTGCTTTTTCACGAGAGGAAAAAAAATCCCAAATTTTTACTTTCTGAAGATGGTATAGTCTCTCTTTATAGTATTTTATAGTATATGTAGTATTTTATGTAGCTAATAATGATGTATTATTAGATGCAACTGCATTCTTTTTAGGAAAAACAACATACTAAACCTTTTGAGACTTTTTTTGGTTAGGATACAAGATAGATAGATAGATAGATAGATAGATAGATAGATAGATAGATAATAGATAGTTAGGGAGAATTTCTCAGAAACCAAACCAACAAGAAAAATTTTAGAAGAGATAAACATTATGTCGTGTTTCTGACACGTCCTGATTATACTTAAGGCAGACCATCTGTCCCTGATGACGGTGGAGCTGGATGGATGAGGCCATCAGGAATGTATCTCTTTGTAAAATTTCTGAAACATTGAATTTGTTCCCCAGTAGTCCAACCTCATAGCAAATCTGCTACCCAGATGTAAATTTAGAAGCATCAGAGTTCTTGGCTCCCTGAAGGAAGAATTTCAATTTACAAGAAGCATTATAGATTCTAACAAGAGAAGAATGGCTTGAAATCTAAATTACCCCAAACAAACCAGGACGGCACATAAGGGAAGCAAATGAAGAAATCGGTAGCATGGGAAGGTGAGTGTGGGTTGCTGATGCTACCTCTGGGGAGAAAAATTCAGAGGCTGCATGCAAAACCAGAAGACACCAGAAAATGGTGCACCCAGCATTTTTGCTAAGCATTGCTTGCAATGCAAACAGATTCACATTTGGCATGACATTCATCAAAGGGGCATGCATGTGTGCGTGCGTGCGTGCGTGCGTGCGTGTGTGCGTGTGTGTGTGCACGCACGCTCGCACGCGTGCTGTATGCATATGTGTGCATGGGTTCATTTGCATGTGTGTCATCAGTCCTCTTACAAAGAGACAGATGGTTGTAAGGGGGGTTGTCAAGCAGGACTGAAGTAATAAATCATGATAAAAATCCCCAGGGCAATGAAAATGGAGTAACGGGATGAGAGATTTCAACCAGGAGAGCTTGGAGAAAGAGCTCATAAACAAATGCAGAAGAGAGAAAACAGAGTGAGCCCAGCCTCCACGTAAGAGATGAGTACTGACAGCAGGCAAGCACCAGGGGTCTGTGCATGGCGGCGTGTGCCTCTAACCCCAGTACAGGGGAGGCCGGGCCCAGGGGACCGGACCGCAATCAATTCTACGCCTGCTCCACCTAGTGGGTTCCAGGCCTGTGTATCCAGACACTCACAAACCAAACCAAACAACAAAGCAGCTTCTCCTACGCAAAACCTCAAAGGGTAAGAGGAACGGAGGGGAATGGAGGACACACAGAGGGCGTGGCCATGTCTCTGCCTGTTGTTACTCCTTGTTCAAGTAGGGCTGGTTGTCAGCCCTCAAACGGGCCGGATAACCCACATCTCCCCGGGGGAGACTCCCGGCTGTGGTTGCCCCCAAAGTATCAGACAGTGTCCCCCCAGGAGGCTCTGGAGTCCACACAGAAGACTCTATGCATTCCATGTATACCAGCCCTCTGAATGTGCTTGAATGTAGTGCCTTGGTAATCAAAAGGCCTGGCCAAAGCGAATCTGACGTATTCACAATAGGCCTAATCGCCATTGTACATGTGGCAATTATCCCTAAATAGGGCTTATAAATCACTACATTGCATTTACACTGCTGAACCAAGCTTGTAATTTTCCATTTCATTAGACTTATCATTGTCACGATAGGATAGTATAATGAACGCCATATACCCATCGCCTAGAATTTTAAAATGTTCACACTTTGACACGTGGACTTTACTATTTTTTAAAATGTAGTATGTAAAACAGTCTTCAGGAGTCGTGGCAATGTTTTTCCTGAAGGCATGAGCAGCATCTCTAGAACTAATATTTTCCTACATGCTCATGCTCATATGGCCCTCCCAGCACACACGACAGATCAACACCAACCTCGCTTAGCACCTTGGACATTCTGATATCGCCACTTGTACCTCAAATGCCTTATGACTTGTTTATTCGAAGCACCTTCCAGCCAGCGCTCATTTATTTGACTATTTATGGTTTGGTACGTACGTACGTATATCTGGCGATTGGACCTAGAGCCTTACGCATGCCTGACCACCGAGCTGCCTCTCTGCACCCGCTCTCCAAATTATTGTTGTCCCTTTAGCCCTAGTTGAAGAATCTAACGGGACTCACATGGAAAAACCACTGTCTTCTAGGTTTGCCCAACTGTTTGCTCATGGAGACATTGAACACCGGTCTCTAACCCCTACATTTATTGTAAACAAAGAGTTAGATAAAACTCAGTTTACTTTTTTTCTTTTTGGAAAACTACTCAGCTGATGTTTCTCTGCATCGTGGAAGATGGCACAGGGGCCTCCTAAGTGGTCCTCACAGAGAGGAGGGTGGCTCAGTTGGGTATTTGGGCTTCGTAGCTAGCCCTGCAATAATAGCCTGAAAAAACCTGCCCACCATACGGGACTTTTGTTCTCACAGCAGAACTAAGGCCTGAGCCATGGTCTCCCCATCTCATGGTCCCTCCAGCCTCCTGGTGTTGAGTGAAGCCTTTTCCTTGCTTTGGTTCTTCCCCACCAGTCGCCTGGGCTCTGCCACGTTGTAGTCCCCAAATAACACACAAGACGCTGTATTAATTATGAAGCTGTTGGCCTTGCTTGTTTCTTACTGGCTATCTGTGACTTAAATATTTAACCCATAATTGTTAATCTAAGTATTTCTCTTACCAGGGAAAGGGTCCGGACTTCTTACTCCTATGGCGGCTACATGGTAACTCCCTGTGTTTCTCATTCCCAGAGTCCTCCTGGACTCCTAGTCCCACCTATCTTGCTTCCCTATTGGCCAACAGTGCTTTATTGACATATACACAGGACTTCCCCACCACCCTGGCCTGCCTTTCCTGGGCTCTTCTCCACTGGGTTAAACGGTTATTCTGGGTCCTGTGTGTGCGCCACGGGACTGTCAAAAATATCTCACACACCCCTTTATTTTATTATTATTATTTATTTTTTGTTTTTGTTTTTCGAGACAGGGTTTCTCTGTATTGTTTTGGAGGCTGTCCTGGAACTCGCTTTGTAGACCAGGCTGGCCTCGAACTCACGGGGATCCGCTTGCCTCTGCCTCCCGAGTGCTGGGATTAAAGGCCTGTGCCACCAACAGCTGGCTTTCACACACCCCTTTATAAAAGACCTAGAGGGTTTCCTCCACGCTTACATCCCAGGAGGACTCATAAGAGCTGTCCATCAGGAGATGATCCCAGGATGGACACCAACTCTGCTAGCCCCTTGCCCTTTGACCCTCCGCATGACAAACTCCCTGCAGGGGTTTTTGTTTTAAGTGCCCGCCCGTGTGGATAACGATTGAGGGCAGGAGGAGAGTGAAAACCTTCCGGGACTTGGAGAGGTGGCCGGTCAACCTAGCGAGTGATTTTGGAGACTCTTTCTTGAGGCTTGAAGGTGTCTGAGGGGAGAGGCTCCAGTACGAGGGTCCATAATCCCGGCGGACTAGTTTTGGGATTTGTGTTCCTTTGGTTGCCATTGAGGCTTGCTTCCTCGTCACTAACGGGAGATGACAAGGTCTCACCGTGATGTGGCTTGTCAGTAAGCCAGTGTGAAGGTGTTCAGTGCAGAGCAAGGGCCTTGGGGGGGGGGGATGGCCAGCGCATTCAGGTGGCTGTGCTGCTGCCACGCCTTGATTTCTTCAATTAAATCCCCACAGGGGCCTTTCTCATTGCCTGCCTGCCTGCCTCCCCCCCTCTCCCTCCCTCCCTTCCTTCCTCCATCCTCCATCTCTCCCTCTCTCCTTCTCTCCCTCCCTTGCTCCCTCCTCTTTCTCTCTCTCTCTCTCTCTCTCTCTCTCTCTCTCTCTCTCTCTCTCTCTCTCTCTCTCTCTCTCTCTCTGTCTCTCTCTCTGGCCTCCAGCCTCTGCTACTGAAGCTCTAGAATTGACCTTTCTTTTTCCTCTGCCTGCTGTGTGGAGTCCCAGGGCTTTGAGGTGGCTCTCCATCTCTGAGCGGGCTTGCATTCACTTCCTGTATCCCTCAGGTTTAAGGTCACACGGTTTTACAGGAGACGGACTGATGTCGATGGTCCTGATGACCAGCCCAGAAGGAGGTGTGGAGACGGCACAGGAGCAGAGGGGTCACTGCCAGAAAGGACATTCGCCATGGGGCACTGAGTGGCTTCGGCCCTGGCAGAGGGCGAGTCCCCCGGAGGAGGCTCTTTTCTCCGCAGAACCCACCACCAGGCTGCTTGGCCAGTGAGCACCTTCTAGAGAAGAGCTCTGGGGCTCTCAGAACCCAGAGTGGCCTGTCAAAGCATAGGGCACCATGCTCTCTACAAAGAGAAAGATGGAGGGGCGGAGTCTTCCAATTGAGATTTTACTCCAGGGTAGTGCTGAGCGCTTTATTGATCCGCCCACAAAAGGGAGCAGAGAAAACACTGCACACTTGCTTCAGCTTTCAGACAGTCTTCTTAACTCCCATTTTTAACTTCTTAGTTCAGAAGAATCTCATCAGAGCAGGAGACCTCCTTATGCTGGATCAGGTTCTGTAACATCATAGACTAGCTAGAAAAGACAAGTCCAACACTTACTATTCTGCTTAGACTCTATCTGTCTGTCTGTCTGTCTATCTATTTCCAAGCTTAGATCCCATCTGTCTGTCTGCCTGTCTATCTGTCTAACCATCCATTAATCCATCCATCTATCCATCTATCTAGGGACAGGGATAAGGAAATTTAGGATAAAAGGAAGAGAAAGAGAAACGAATCTTTCTTCTTCTCCTTCCTCTGGAAGACAGACACACTTCTAACCCTCCATCCTTTGTGGGTAAGTTCTTATTCTGGTAAATAAAAATATTATATTTCATCTTGTATTGACCTCCATCATCATATCTATCTATCTATCTATCTATCTATCTATCTATCTATCTATCATCCATCTATATCCCAGCTTAGATGTCATGTATGTATGTATATATCAATTAATATCCCAGCTTAGATCCCATGTATGTATGGTATGTATACATGTATTTATGTATCTTCTAATATCCCAGCTTATATCCCGTGTATGTATGCATGTTGTATGTATGTATGAATACATGTATGTATGCCTGCATCTACTTTTGAACAGGGTAGCCAGGTTGACCTTCACACTCACTTCAGCCTGCCTTCCCTGGCCTCCCAAGTGCTGGTGTTACAGACGTGAGCCACCACACTTGCTTCTGGGAATTTTAGAAGCCTCTTGAATCACCAGACATCACCCAGTTTCCAAGGAGCAGGCAGAGAGGGACAGTGAGATGTTGAGGGGCTTCCCCCGCCTTTGGAAGATTAGAACGGAAGACATCTATCTTCACCACATGATAAATTACCAGCCGGAACCATTTTGTCCTTGGTCTTTCAGGACAACCCTACCTCTGCTGTCTACTCACAGGGTTCCGTGGAGTAGGGGAGATGGAAGACAGCAGTAGTGTAAGCTCCACGCTTCTCTCACAATGGACTTTGATGGTCACCCTGATCGAAAGTCATTTTTTTATTTTACATTTCGATGAAGTAATTTTATTTAGGTTTTGTCAATATTTAAAAGCAGTGCCTGCCCATCTCCTCGGGGATTTTGATCGCCCAGTCTGTTGACTCCCGGATGCCTGGTGGTTGTGACATCATCACTGACTTCCCGGTTCTCTTGGCATCACAACAAACACAGCACTGGGCCTGTGGGAAGGGATCAACCCTTGCTGGATTGAACAGACGCAGCTGGGCCTTAATATGCAATGAAAGATTCTGTATCTCTCATTACCTGGGTACTTTCTATGTGCTGGGCACACACAGAACTACAATTTCTTTACACGTGTGATTTCCCACATTTCCTACAAGTGTTTTATCAATAGCAATATGGGGTCCCCATCCCAATCCCCACTTAAACCCAAGGAAAATGGACGTTACTGTCTTCCCTCTAACAGGAAGAAAAGGTCCCAAGATCTTACTATAAGCCGACCAACCCTAAGCCCCAGATGTTAAAACATCAGCAGAAGTGAAAAGAGAAAGGGAGAGAGAGAGAGAGAGAGAGAGAGAGAGAGAGAGAGAGAGAGAGAGAGAGAGAGAGAGAGAGAGAGAGAGAGGAGAGGAACAAGGGGATAATGGTATCTTAAAGGGACTGGGTGTGTGGGGGAATAAATGTTAATAGTATCTTTAAGAGGTTTATAATTTCACCAAGAAAAACACACACAATACAACCTCATGGAAAACTCGCACAGACGTTGTAAAACAGAACGCAGCAGATTGCCTAAGGTGGGAAGTCTGGTTCGACCTGTAAGTACTAGGTTGCCTAAGGTGGGAACCCTGACTGGGGAGGGCCAGGGCTGGGGCAGGCAGATGAAGAGCTTGCCCCCCCCCCCCGGGAAGGGTACCCGGGCAGTGAGTATGAGGAGGAGTGCTGAAGCAGCTAGCTGCACTCTTTGTGGCTGGTACTGTAAAGGGGGCCAGCAGCGGGTGGGTGGGTGGTGGGGGCGACGGTAGACGCACATTGCCGGACGACGGTGGCGCCTGGCTTTGTCCAGGTGCAGAGAACCTGGCTGGGGAGCGGTGGAGACTAAAAACAGAGAAGGGTCCATGGGTTGGCGACAGCTGCGTGGGATGTGGGATCTTAGCACACTCGGGGGTGGGGGGGACGTGAGGTTTGTGCACTAGTGGTCTCTGTTCGTCCCCGAGGTAGCGTGCTGAAGAAGGGGCTCTTGAGACAGCAGTGGGCTGGACCATTCCTGGCAGGGGGGGGGAAGAGCCTTCTTGTCTTTGGAGGAACCGAGGAAGGAGGGGCTGTCTCCCCCTCCCCCCCCAGGTCGACATCCCCAGTGTGTTGGAGAGCTCCACGGAGAAGGCACAGGCGTTGGCCAAGGCCAAGGCCGGAGTTAGATGTGGGCAAATATTTGCTTTGCCTCAGCTGGAGGAGATGGATGTCTAATGAAGAGGCAGCATGACTCATGTCACAGAGTGTACCGACAATTCAGGAAAAAGCCACTCTGGAAACTGCCAGAGTGCCAGGCAATGCCGCCTGATGGACTCTTAACGGTACAGACACGTACACGCATGCCCACTCACACGTTCGTGGGCACTGACGCACACAGACGCACGGATGTACTCACACGCACAGATACACAGATCTTTCAAGTGTATGTATACGCATGTGTCCTTTGACGCGTCGATATGTCACTTCGGCTAGCCAGAGCTCTCCCGGGTGTGCCTGGGTCAGCAAACACAGTTAATTCAGAGCCCTTACAGACCCAGCTTTCCTATACGCAGGGCGGGCAGAGTGCTGGCTTGTGATTAGAAGGGGCTGCGGACTGACCGAGATATGTTCTAAGACAGTCGCAGTGACAGCTACAGTGCAGAGGCCCTGCTTCCAAGACGTCTATGACAGCCCCCCCCCTGCCCTCCTGGTGTGGGATCCTGTGTGATGCCTCCTCTCGAGGATGGGTGGGAATTGGGGGGGTGTTTTTAACTCACAGGTGGCGAGGTATCACTTCTGTAATTCTGTCCAGACACTATGTACAGACACTCACCAGCTTGCAGGTAGAGACATTCTTTGCTGCTTTTGAAGAAGGGTACCGTGCCGTGGACATGCAGGAACGCGGGTGGTGGTGACAGGGTGGACCGCACTGACCTTGCATGGAGTGGTTCCCTGCTGACAGCTAACAAGAAAAAACGGTTCCTTGGTCCCAAAATCGTGAGCAGACGAATTCTGCCAACAGCGTAAGATGGCTTCTAGACTTGAGGCTGGCATGGTTAGAAAGCTCCTTGACTCAGCCCGTGGGTCTCAGACTCACAGACCCCACAGAATTGCACAAGAGGGAACGTAGGGCTTGGAGACACCCGAGATAGCAGACATGGTGTTTTAAGCCACTAAGTTGTGGCAGTTTGCTATGTAAGTGAGTGGCAGCTAACAGCTTTCCGGTGACAGTCTCCCACAGAACTTCCGTAGAGCTGCGGTGACATGCTGGGGTCCAGACGCTCTTCCTAACGGTGTGGAAAGTGGTAAGCCTGTGTGAGGGAAGTCCCACATAGTCACTAGCTGGCTGTGTGGATGCGACTTAGGTAAAGACGTTTCTATTCTCCGGGGCCCAGCTCATTCTTTTTCAACTTTGACACGGTTGTCCGAGTCTGTGTCTGAGTTTCCTTCCGATTTTCATAACAGATTCTGATTCACGCAAGTCCTATGTCGATAGATTTAATGCTTGTGGAGCATTTACTGACCGGAACATGTTGAATATTTTCCTGTCCCATCTCATTTCCGCTTCAGAGAGGATCATGCTTTCCGGGTTTTTTATTATTATTATTATTATTATTATTATTATTAGAGTTGCTTGTAAAGATAAGGAAATCAAGGGTATCCTGCTCTGCTAACTTGAGCTGGTCCACATGGCTGGAAAGTTGGAGATCAGAGAATCCTGTTAGTTCCTTTCACTATGCTATGCAAGGCCAGAGCCCAGGGGAAGTCCATTCAATTCTTTAACTGGGACCAATCGGGAAAACAGAGATAGAAGCCTCAGAAAGGAGCTCTCGGAGTTGCCGTAATCAAGTGGAGAGCCACATGAGTGGTAATTCAGTCTGACAGCCAGGACCAAATAGATTCCCAGTGACAGCTTTGACAAAGTCGAATTGCCAGGCAAGTTCATCAGGGGCTATTTCAGAGTGGAGAGAAAGGAAGAAATAAGGAACCCGGGACTCCTTTCCACATGCCTGAAACACCGAGGGCTGAAATTGCTTTTCTTCTGGTGGGCCAAATTTGTCTCCTGAGCTACAAATATCTTTCTGCGATTGTGCTGGTGGTCCTGATAGCAGACTCAACACACCCTCAAGCTGAACTCATTGTCTGCACCCAGGCATACATTCCTTCTGGGTTCTCTGTCCTGGTTAAATGACATCCACTTGCAACATTTTAACACTGAACTCATTGTCTGCACCCAGGCATACATTCCTTCTGGGTTCTCTGTCCTGGTTAAATGACATCCACCCGTAACATTTTAGATAGTTTATCTTTGCATGGAAACACCTGGATCTGTTAGCTCCCTCCTGAGACGTGGCATGCAAGTGTTTGCCTCCTCAGTGGAAGTCGGATTTCTCTTACTGTCTCTGTTGGACTCTTCCTACAGGTGCCTAACTAATGTGACCTCCCCTCCTGTTCTCCTCTCCAAGGTTTTCAACACTGACTCCAGAGCAACTCTAAAAACGACAAATGAAGCCAGGTGGTGGTGGCCCACGCCTTTAATCCCAGCACTCGGGAGGCAGAGGCAGGCGGATCTCTGTGAGTTCGAGGCCGGGCTGGACCGACAGCCTCCAAAACAATACAGAGAAACCCTGTTTCGTAAAATCAAAAAAAAATACAAATGACTGATACATTTGAAAGCCCTTGAGGACTCTCAGGTCACTAGCGGGACACATCTCAAATAGCCCCACGTGTCTGGGAAGCCACATCCTTCCTGGCTTATAAATCCTGTCTGGAGCTGTATCTCCTCTGCTTCCTCTCAGTTCCTGAATTCCAATACTGTTTATTCCAGTCTCCGCCATCATACCCGCTTAGGTTACTCCCTGCAATGCCCTTCTGGTTTTTTTTTTTTTGTCTGCCTACTCGTCAATATTAGGCCCACTAAAATGTCTCATCTCCCACAAAGCCCTTTGGTGTATCGCACTTGCTCAGAGTAGAATTCAGACGGCTCGCCAAGAGCTGTCAGTCACGAAGAAAGCCACGCGCCTCACCCCTTTCTTGGGTGTGCAGCAGAGTGGTAAGAAAGGCCATTGCCAACGCACTTGACCTTTGCCCTGGTCTGCACGTATTCACATCCACGGACGCTGAGATACAATTCTCTGATTACGAAGGTTTGCGTTACTCACCTTCGAATTCTCGGTCGCCAACACCATAGCCCACGTACCGTCAGCTAGGAACTAAACTTTCCTGGACATCTGGTAGAATGAGGGGTTGGGTGACATCTTCAGCACTCTGTGTGTGAAAGGACTAGGCCACGGGGCACGCAATGCATTTAGAACTACGGTCCAGAAGGGACAGGCTTTGTGCCTTCTAGGTGACCCACACCCAGGACACCAATGAAAACAGGCTGACTGAGAGCCATGTGCTAACGGTGGTAGGCAGTACAGAAAAACACAGCCGATTCCTCCCAACTGCTTTCGGTACACACGAGGTATTTTTGCTCTTGACGGAAAATCTCAGTGGGCTTGGATCCAGCCGCATGGAGTAGACTTTATTTTTTTGTCAACGGAGGAGAGGCTTGGCTACTTCGGCACGATCTGAAACATGCCTGTGGAAGATAAATCGGTGCGTGGTAGCTAAAATATCCAAGTCTAGATCAGTAGGAAAACTCCATCCTCTCTTATTTATGTATTAGGGGATACGCTTGCCATGCAGCAGCAGGTCTTCCAACTGAGCAGCTAAGTACATAGTTTCACAGACCAGAGATCCCAGACTCTCTGGGAAATTCCAGTTCAGGCATGTCACAATAAGCACAGGGAGTTTTACAGCCATTCTAGCTCTTCCTGTTATTTCTGGGCCACTTTGGGGTATGTACGAATGTGTGCGTGTGCGTGTGTATATGTGTGTGTGTGTGAGTGTGCACATGCACCCTCCCCCCAGCCCCCTTCCCCCTTCCCCTCCCCCCTCCCCTGCCCCTGTGCATATGTATGTGCATGTGGGTGGATTGGTGTTTGTTTTAACATCCCCAACCTGGTTTTATCTAGAAATTCTGTTGCTATATGCCATCGTCTGGTGTGTAGAGTACATTGTGGGAAGGTAAGCTTCAGAAATACAGGGCATATACAGGTCCTTTATTCCTGATCCGTAGTTGCCTCTTCAAAGTCGCATTGTTAGACGTATTGCTACCAGAAATGGGATTTACTACACGGCTCTTGTTTTGAGCCCGGGGATCAAAGGACTAGACACAGCTCTCCTCAAGCAGCTCTCCTGGGAACACGTCTTCTCCTGCTCTTCTACAGTGGGCACTTGGGGAACCCGGGAGCAGCCCAAGTTCCAGCCTTACAGGACGAGCACTCACTTTCAGACGTGGCCAGCATCCTTTGTGTTCACGGGCAGATGCCCGTGGTGCTGTTTTCAGTAGCGCTGACAGGCCGGCCGTGCTGGCCGTACTTGGGCCAGCGTAACTGGGTTCTTTGGGAGAGACTCCAGTAAGTATGCTCGAAAAACAGATACGGTCGGTGGCTTTGGGTACATGGCAGAGAGAAGTTTGCACGCTGAAACAAAGTGCTGTTCAGACTTGTAGACGTCATCACGCTCCCACTGGGACAAATGAACCCCGGGAGGTGCCATCGTGGTCTGCGGCGTGGGAGCCGGGGCGGTGACACTGAGTACAGCCAGAGTCCTCGGCACACATGAAGGCGCTGTTCCAAAGAGGCAAGGTAGCTTCCAGCGAAGCAGAGAAGCCTCTGTGTTCGGAGGTTACAATGCTGAATGCTAGCTGTGTTACCTCCAAACAGCACCACGCTGGCAAATCCCACTCATTTAACCACAGGTTTAGGAAAAAAAAAAAAAAGAAGAAGCAGATCTCATAAATCCTTATAAATGTTGCATAGTCACCAGTATTCTCAACGTGCCAGGGGCGTTTGGGACTGGGAGACGGAAGAGTTAGGAGTTTAACCTGGTACCGATTAGCTGGAAGAATTTGAATGAGTCATTCAAATTCTCTGGGCTTCTTGTCTTCTTATCCACGAACAAAGGTCTGTGTGCGGGTGTGCTGTGGGATCCTCTCCACTTGGACGCTAGTCTCCTTCCCTGTGTAGTCCATACTCTGTGTTCATCATTGCTTGCATCAACACAGAGCAAACCTCCTGCTCTAAGCCCTGGGAGAGCAATACGATAAAGCTTATAGTTTATCCATATCGAAGACAAACTCCATGAGAGGAAGGGCTGTGCCTTCCCTATCTGAATTCGGAATGTCCAGCAAGGGTTTTTGTTTTGTTTTGTTTTTAAAGTTTGAATAAATTAGCACATGGTTGAATAATTTCTAGTTAGGGTGATGGCTGAGACCCATTGCCCAGCCATTTCCTGAGTCCTCTTACAAAAGAGGAGGGGGCCATGACACTAGTTTTCTTCAACTGGATATGAACTCAAGGGGCTTTGCGTGCTTCTCACGACGTGTGGATGTCCCTTCTCAACCCTATTGAGAGGGGTCTGGAGATGATGGCAGAGTTCTTGGGTCCACAAACGATGTCTGTGTGCAACAGAATTCCAGTTTTCCATTTACATCAAAGTTTGAAGAACGAGAAAATTCCTTGACACAAAACTGGGAACTGATTACTGTGGAAGTCCTTTCCTCCAGTGAATATCTGGAGAATAAAAGATCAAAAACCAAAGCAGGGAAGTGTGCCGGGAGGGCTGGGGGTACAAGCCTGGTCAAGTCTTACACTCACTTCTAAGAGAAGCAATTGAACTCGATGGGCTCTGGAAAAGTTAAATGTATTTTTAATGGTGACGTAAAAATGGCTCCTATCGGTATGATGCCCTGCAGTGTTCTGAGGCATGCATATAATTCATTGCATAGTGTTAGAGTCAGGTTAAAATCCCTTCCCAAACATTTATCACTTCTTTGTGATGAGAACAGGCAAAATCTTTCTTTCCCTTCTTCCCCTTCTTCCTCTTCCTCCCCTTCTTCCCCTCCTCCTCCTCCTTTTTCTTCTTCTAAAATGAGCTATATTGCTGTTGTCTCCAGCCACCCTACTGGGCAACAGCAATTTTAGTGACGCCCTTGTGATACGGAAAATGCAACCCAGCATTGTGATGCTCAGACTCCTAATCTTGCTTTAGCGACCAGAGAACCACAGTTGAGGAAAACTAAACATCTTCCTCCCTAGAAGTGGGATGAATCAGTTGTCGGTGAGCTCCAAAGCCTGTGTTTTTCTCTGGAACAGCCACGCCTGGCCTCATGCTCATCATAGTGCAGCAGAGTGGGAAACCTTCCTCCTGCCAGACTGGCCTCTGTTGGCCCGGAGGGGACTCCTTTACACTGGGTCACGAAGACACTTGGTGGAGAGTGCTTTGTTCTCTGGGTCAGAGCAGACATCTGGCCTTCAGGCCCAGAGTGTTACAGACTTTTCTCCTGGAGCAGGAAGGTTCCACGGCGGAACTCACATGTTGTGGTCACAGCCTCAGCACCCGAAGCCTGCTCAAGCCTTGAACACAGAACTGTGGGTGACAACCCTGACCTTCCTAGGCGGTGGAGAACAAGTTGGTCACTGTCTCTCCTTCTCCATAGACGGTCCAGGACAGGTGGGAGGGGAGGTATGAACCCTTATGGGGGACCAGAGATGGTTGTGGACCTTTCTTGTGGGGGCAGAGGCTTGGAGTCCTTCTTGTAAGTGTACAGTTACATAATGGCGTGAAGAAGGATGAGTCACCATCACTACAAGTTGACGGGGCACACACACACAACTTAGAATTTACAGGAGGCTCCTCTTGACGGAGTTGTGCGTGCGAATTAGCTGAAAACAAACAGACAAAAACAAAACAAAACAAAAAAACAACAACAACAAAAGTCCAGAATGCCCACTCCAAGCTCACATTCCCAAACTTGGAAGTTTGCCCTGGAGGCAGAACCAGCCGAGGCAAACCCAACAGAATTTGGATTTAGTTCTGGGAGAACTGGTCTTGTCCACTGGGGTCAGACGACAGACAGCCAGGATGAAAGTTGGGAGGCTTCACACTTCAGAAGGTTAGCCTTCCCAGCCTCACTGGCTGTGGAATCAGCAGACACCCGAACTGCCCTCCATCCCCAGCAGGCCGGCTGGCCAGCCCTAGCTGCCTGCAGGGGAGGGAAAGGGCCTGGCGAAAGCCTGAATCTGGAGAGAGAACCACCCAGTGATATTTCAGCATGATGGATTTCTCCCTGGGACCCGCAGGCTCAGAGAAGGCAGGGTTGCAGCCATCAAGGGCAGAGACACTTCCAACACCTAGACCTGGCGGCTGGGCCTGGCTCGGTGGTCTCCCGGAGAGCTGCCCTGCTGAGTTTATTTTGGCAGTCTGTTTTGAATTTACAGCGCTGCCTCTTTAGGAGGGTATTTTGAGATGCTCTGCCAACCTGCAAGGGCTCCAAGTAGCTTTTGTTTCTGTACTCACACAGATGAGGAGCTGAACTAATTGAGAGAGTGACCCAAATTTGTGAGTATCACAAAGTATCACACTTGGCCTGGATTCCTGTAGCTTTCGAACGCCGCTGTGTGCTCCTCCATTTGGAAGTCTTTTCTTTCTTTCTTTCTTTTTCTGGAGCCCTTTTGAAAACGCCCCAGCCACACAGAATCAGCAAATAAGCAATGGGGTCCCCTCTTGAATAGTCCGCAAAGAGGTTCAGGCGCGGAAAGTCTTCTAGTGGCTTTTGTTCATAGAAACACAGCTTGGCAAAACAATTGCTGTTTTCTTCCTTTGTTCAGAAACAGCACAGTTCAGCCTTGCTCCAACATTTCCCTCCAACGGAAATGATTTGGATGTCCCAGGGTCGGTCTACCCAAGGTTGTTGAGAGCAGAGATTTGCTTCGCAGCCTTGAGATAGTTGTGTGTTTTTAACTCCTCCAAGGATAGTTTGCTCACCCAGAGCCCTCCCAGCTATTGTCAGAATTTCCAGGAGAAAAGGAGAGGGGAGTTTTCCCTTTGCCCTCCTGCTTCTCTTGTTGTCCTCACTTATACTAAGACCTGGGAGGAGGCCTTTGAAGTAACAGGCAGAGCGTGCGGACGCTACCCCGGGGGCCTGTGATTGGTCAACTCACCTAAAAATGAGCATTTTCCATTTGGTTTCTAGACCCCCTCTCTCTTTTTTTCCTGTTTTCAGCTTCCAGTCTCCTTTATGACACACGGATGCGACAGAAAGATTTTGATTCCCTCTTTGGGAATTCTGCTTGTCATAAAGAGAAGTTGTGAAAAGGAAAAGGAAATCTATTCCCTGGGTAGAAGTGTAAGCAAGCAGTGGTCAGGCAGTGGGCAGCTTGGGTGTGTGTGTGGGGGGCCGGGGGGAGCACAACACTGGCCTGCTGGGGAGCACAGCCGGCTGCCGGGACAGAAGGCTTCAGGCCCTGGCTTACCAGTGTACCTCCAGCTACAAGTTCCCCGGAGGAGTGCCTGGCTGGGATCCCTCTCTCTGGCTGAACTCACCAGCAGGCTGGATCAGGAGAGCAGCACCCAGGATCGGCTGTGGCTTCTTCGTAGGAATAACCGGGGTGGTTTGTGATTGCAAATGTGTTGAGGGACTGTAGGGTAGGCTAAAGTCAGGATAAAAGGGAAATTTGGAGAGGAAAGGGAGACAAAGGAGAGGAGGAAGGAAGAAAAGGAGGAAGAAGGAAGGAAATAGGAAGGACAAAGGAAGGAAGGAGGAAGAAGGAAGGAAGTAGGAAGGACAAAGGAAGAAAGGAGGAAGAAGGAAGGAAGGAAAGAGGAAGTAGGAAGTAGGAAGGACAAAGGAAGGAAGAAGGAAGGGAGGAAAGAGGAAGTAGGAAGTAGGAAGGAAGGGAGGAGGAAGGAGTGAGGAGGAATGTCCACAGTGCCTCTGGGCTAGCTGGTCTGAGAGCTCAGGCCTCAGAGCGCTCAAGGCTTCTCAGACGATTGCAGACCCTTAGTGAAACGCTGGCCTGCCCTGTTACCTGGCAGCATGCACTCAGGCAGCACCTTGGCCAGCCCAGAGATCTGTGAGAACCACGCGGGTGCAAAGGACCCCTTTAAAGGACTGAGCCCTGCCTGCTTACTCTCTGTCTTACTCTCATCATCTCATCCTCTCTTTACTCTCTTCCTCTCTTACTTCTCTCTCTCTCTCTCTCTCTCTCTCTCTCTCTCTCTCTCTCTCTCTCTCTCTCTTATCTTACCTCCCTCTCTCAGCTCTGCACAGGTTGGTTACCCCTCACCCCCTTTCCCTTCCCTGTCCACCAATAAAACTCCACGTGGGACGCTGACTCACGGTCTGTGTCTCGTTACTGAGTAAGCCTAGACATTTTAACAACACGTAGAGCTCAGAGGTGGTTCCTGAGGTGCACAACTGGTTCCTGCTCCCTTCCCTTCCCCTTCCCTCTGATCCCTTTTCCTTCCCTCCCCTCCTCTTCCTCTCCCTCCTCTTCCTCCCCTCCTCTCTCCTCTCCTTCCTTTCCCTCCCCTTACCCTCTCCTCCTATTCCTTTCCCTCTCCTCCCCTCCCTCCCTTCCCCTCCCTTCCCCTTCCCCTCCCTCCTCTCCCCTCCTCTTCATTTTTCTTCCCCTTCCCCCTTTCTCTTCCATTTCCATTTAGCGGTTGACTTTGTATCTCTCCTCCAGGAAAACGATGATGGGCCGCCATCGTAGGGCTCCGAATCTGAATAATTTCTAGGAAAAGAATGTGGTGTTTAGGCCAACAGCATCAGCCTCTGTAGGAGGAAGTCTGATGCCGCCATTAAACATGTGACTTACTAAGTCTATGCTGCCATTAAACATGTGACTTACTAGAGGCGCATTCAGATGAGGTAATAAAAGGGCGGTTTACCACACCGCTAACCACACCCACTTTAGGCAGGACTAAAGACGTATACGGCTGGACGTAAAGACGTATAGGTACGTAGGCGGAACTACGTCACTAGCCAAGCCCACTTTTGGGCATGGCTAGGGGCGTTACGGGGGAAGGCATAAAAGACAGCGCACAGGAAGTCTCGCTCTCTTTTCCTGGAGTTCGGCTTCCGGTCCAGTCGCTAGCGGAGATCTGCTGGGCTTCTCGGGGTTTGGTATCTTGTGAGTAATTTTCTATATAAAATACTTAGCCTTATTTTCAGTAATTGTGTGTCGCGTATCGTTACAGCGTCAATAAAGCCAACACACAGGAGGCTATATTCATTATGAAGCTGCTGGCCTTGTTTGTCTCTTACTGGCTAGCTCTGCTTTAAGTAATTACCCCATAATTGTTAATCTAAGTATGTCTCTTACCGGAGAATAGTTCCAGGCTTCCTACCCCCAATGGCGTTACATGTTGACCCCTTGTCTTTCTCCTTCCCAGAATCCTCCTGGACTCCTAGCCCCACCTATCTAGATTCCTATTGGCCAGCAGTAATTTATTGACATATACACAGGACTTCCACAACATCTCCTCTTTTCTGTTTAAACAAAAAGAAAGGTCTTAACTTTAACACAGTCAAATTGTATATAACAGAACAGTTATCAAATATGAACATAGTTACAATATTTTAGCAAGATTTAAAGAAAATATCATCCATCCCATCCTTGTGAGTCCAAAGTTCCATATGTAGCTTATCTTTTATCATAACTAAGGAAAACTATAATTATAACTATCTGTCTTCAACTCCATCAAAGACCACAGAAGGATAATATATAAACACTAGGATTGACAGAGACATCTTACTGCCTGGACAGTCACCCGAAGTTCCTCTGTAACGTTGGGGCATCCATCTTCAGCCCATAGGCCACAATGTGTCTGGAACACTTCTCAGCAGAGCAGGAAATTTCAAACTGTCCATCTGCACTGGAAGTCTATCATTCATTTTTCTTTGTCCTGCAGAAAGTCTCGCGGACTCTTCCATGAAGCAGGAACCCTGTAAGACTGAGTTCAGCATTCACTTTCCTGTAGGTCCTGCATGTCCAGATGATACAACAACAGTCAAACAATCTAGGCAAGAGCAGTTTCTTGCCCAAATGGCTAATCTTGCCATGTTGAAAGCAAACTTTATAACGAGTTTCTTCGATGCCCATCTTCCTCTCAGACGTAATTGGTGCTGCCAGGAGCAGACATTTCTCATTGTCAAGACAAACCCTAAACCATTTTAAATGCCATGTTCTGAAGGTCTTTGAGAGGTTTGAAGACTGTCCATCTCAAATATATTTCTGTATATCTAGAAACCTAACTTATGTAACTAGAAATTCTATTATAAGTAACTATCTATAGTCTGTATTCAATTATGCATTACGTTGTAAAAGATCAGTATAAGCACAATACTTAATCAAGAGGAGAAATATAAGCATCACAAAATTGACCTTGAATGGAGCTTCCAATGGGCTACTGCCCTCAGCTCTGAAAAAGCTGACTCTGTTATTACACACCTCTTAGAGGTAATGGCTGTTATGGGTATACCTAAAACAATAAAAACTGACAATGGTCCAGCATATGTCTCCAGTAAATTGGAACAATTCTTCAAATATTATAATATAAAACATGTAACTGGTATACCTTACAATCCCACAGGACAAGCAATAATTGAAAGGTCTAACCGAACCTTAAAGGAGATGCTTCATAAACAGCCAGGGAAAACAAAGACACCTAGACACAGGTTACACAATGCTTTACTAACGTTGAATTTTCTTAATGCTGATGAAAAAGGACAAACTGCAGCAGAAAGACACTGGACTACAGAGAAGACTTCTGAACTGAACCAACCGGTGTATTTTAAGGATGTTATGACCCAAAAGGTCAGAAGGATCGTGAGGCCCCGCTTTCACGGTCTGTATTCGTACTGAAAATCAAGATCAAGCGAGCTTTTGCCCTTCTGCTCCACGGGAGGTTTCTGTCCTCCCTGAGCTCGCCTTAGGACACCTGCGTTACCGTTTGACAGGTGTACCGCCCCAGTCAAACTCCCCACCTGGCACTGTCCCCGGAGCGGGTCGCGCCCGCCCGCGCGCGCGGACGGGCGCTTGGCGCCCAACGTGGGGCAATTCAGATGCCTCCAGTCGAATCAGGTGAAGTCAAGGAAGTGGATCCTCATTCTCTTTCGGAAGCAGTTGAAGATTGCTGTCAGGAAATCCCTTGTTCTCTGGAAAACTCGAACATTACTGTTAACAAAGAAATATTTTAACTTTCATATGTAAGCATACAGAAGAGGTGACAATAGGGAAGATGGAAAACCTGGAGGAAATTAGACTTTTCAGAAAAAGAAATCCATAGATAACAGTCCCTCATTTTTTATTTCTTCTGTCTTATATCAATGGCTCTTTGATATAATACAGAAATTCTGAATTGTATTTAAATAATATGCTTGGGTTTAGAGTAGGAGAGCCAATCCAACTCCAAAGCCAGCTTCAGTTAAATGAATGGGAACTGAGGTATGTGAAGAAATAAAGATAAAGGTGTACTATGAAAAAGCAATATAGAGAGATTTAGACTTTGATACCACACAGTGTGTGTTTGATGGTCCTCAGGGTAGCTATTCATTCTTCTACAGGAATCCATGTGTCCAGTATTCTTTGCTGAGTTTACCTGTGAATACAAAAAACAAAACACTTCTCTTTCCTTTTAGGAGGTTACTTTACCCATGGTGGACTATGAATTTGTAGATGGGATGTTATCTTCCTCCTCCTGAGATGTTTTCTGTTCTGATCGAATTTTAATTAATTTTGATGGAATCCAAACCTTTTCTTCTCCTGTGGAAACAAAAGCATAACCCCTTCCCCAACGTAACACATATCCTGGTTTCCAGACTGAGGTCATAACATCCTTAAAATACACCGGTTGGTTCAGTTCAGAAGTCTTCTCTGTAGTCCAGTGTCTTTCTGCTGCAGTTTGTCCTTTTTCATCAGCATTAAGAAAATTCAACGTTAGTAAAGCATTGTGTAACCTGTGTCTAGGTGTCTTTGTTTTCCCTGGCTGTTTATGAAGCATCTCCTTTAAGGTTCGGTTAGACCTTTCAATTATTGCTTGTCCTGTGGGATTGTAAGGTATACCAGTTACATGTTTTATATTATAATATTTGAAGAATTGTTCCAATTTACTGGAGACATATGCTGGACCATTGTCAGTTTTTATTGTTTTAGGTATACCCATAACAGCCATTACCTCTAAGAGGTGTGTAATAACAGAGTCAGCTTTTTCAGAGCTGAGGGCAGTAGCCCATTGGAAGCCTGAGAACGTGTCTATAGTATGGTGTACATATTTCAAACTGCCAAATTCTGGGAAGTGAAATACATCCATTTGCAAAAGTTCATTTCTGTGAACACCTTTAGGATTACAACCTGCTGGTAATGGAGTTTGATTGTACAATGAGCAACTGGGACAATTTCTTACTATTTCTTTGGCTTGTTGCCAGGTGATAGAAAAATCCTTCTTTAAACCTTTGCTGTTAACATGGTGTTTCTTATGAAATTCTGAAGCTTCCAACACATTACCTACTAATAAACGATCAATTTCATCATTGCCTTGTGCCAGAGGACCTGGCAGACCTGTATGGGATCTGATGTGTGTTATATATATAGGATGAGTCCTGTTTCTGATGATTTCCTGCAATTGTAAAAACAACGAGGTTAATTCTGTATTATCAGGAACAAATTCTGCAGTCTCAATGTGCAGGACAACTCTTTCTGCATACTGAGAATCCGTGACTATATTGAGAGG